AGTAAGTATCCGATCTAGTAATTATTGTAAGTATCCGAGCTAATAATTACTTTGTAACAAAGCAATTAGTTCTGTAATGTATGTGTGTTCAAGATATTGTTATACTGTTTTCTTCCCGTTTGGATTTTCAGAAAATATTCTGAGATTTGTTGTTGCTGTTTTAGATAATTCAAAAACCAACCCCTGAAAAGAAGTCACGCTTGATGCCCTTATCGAAGAACGTAGCTGATAAAGTAGGAAAACTTGTACGGAACGCAGAACAGCTTAAAGGYATGAAAAAATAACTAACAATACGAAAATAACAAACAAAAAACCCTTTCCCATTCCCMCATACTAAAGAAAAAATTTCCCTAGTACATGCATTCACTCGYTTAATCCAGTCATATCCTAGTCCCTCCTGACGTCAGTCCGTCCATCCATCCCTCTATTTTCCCATTCATCATTTAATTTAATTTAAATTCCAGTCATTCCATCATCTGTCGTCCAGCCATGCACTAATTGAGTGACATGTTTCTTTCAGGTTCAGATTGGGTCAATCCTGAAGATCCTAACGTCATCGCTGAGAATGAACTGCTTGGAGCTGCAGCAGCGATAGAGGCGGCTGCTCGTAAATTAGCAGAACTTAAACCAAAACCACGGCCTAAGGTAAAATTATGGTATTGAAAAAAATGGCAAGATGGCGGATGTCTTGAAAAACCTACTAAAGACCACGAGGAAGTTTGCTTGGAGTATAATTTAATGTACTCTAGACATCTTCATTAGAGTCCTTCGTAGGCTACTCTATTCCGCGGGGTTCCTGTGTTAAGGCAGAAAATCGTCGGTAAGGGGGAGGGGTTAGGAAGGTAGGAAGGAAAAGCTATACCTATTTGTTGTTCCTAATCTCTCGGCACCAGTTTGTTTCGGTCAGGTTAAATCAACACAGGAAGACCAAGGAGAGAAAAGATCTGTTATCTCAAGGAGTAGCCTTCTTCATATGTYATTTCAGAAAGTTATCGACAAAGGATAAGGTTAAATTGTAAAGAAACTTCGGCCTTCGTAGGTTTTGTAAGATGGTCAGCATCTTTTAATACAATAAAGCAATCTGCGAACGCAAATAATTCCGGCATCGTGTAGACAAAAACTCATAGAATATATACAAAGATCATGTTTATTTTTCTTGATTACAGCAAGCTGATATGACCTTAAACTTCGAGGAACAAATCCTAGAAGCAGCTAAGGCCATCACGGCCGCTACTGTTGCTTTGGTCAAGAGCGCTTCAGCTGCGCAGAGAGAACTTGTGGCTACAGGAAGGGTAAGTACAGWTACGATATTCGTGGTCAGCGGTATGCGATTTTTAATTGCTGACATTTGTCCAGCAAATAAGCGAAAAATTGAGTTGTAATAACCAACTGTTATAAACGTTTGTTATGATATAACACTTATGGTCGAGTTAGTTTGTGCATCTTATGAATAATGATACTTACCATATTTGGAATAAATTGCAGCGAATTGACTTGGTTTGTGAATGAAACGAAAGTCTCTCTTTGCTTAATTGTTTTTAAAGCGTTTTTCTCAACTGTTTAATATGTCTTATTTGAAGGTGTTTTCTGCCTCCTCTGACGCCAGAGAAGACAACCAGTGGTCATTCGGTCTTGTTTCAGCGGTAAGTCGCAACCACGCATGCATGAGTCTTGTAAACCAATCATATGATTAGTTTTATTAACCAAATGATGTTGGTCCACTTTGTCCTTTTTACTGACTTTTTGTATGAATTAAATATATCAACCAATCAATTTCACCGTCCTATGAATGTTCTATACGTTGTATTTTTTCATTCAGGCCCGCACCGTAGCAGCAGCCACTCAGACTCTGTGTGACGCAGCAAATGCCGCTGTCCAAGGTAACGCCAGCGAAGAAAGACTAATCGCNTATAATATAATATGGAGTAAAGCTGTCATTTCGATTAAAWACTTATTTTCGGTTATTCACGCCCAGCCTGGACTAGGGTTAAATTTTTTACCATCAAATTTATTTTGATTTTTATGTTTAACTGCAARTACGATTTTCAGTACGTAATATATCAAAAAACTCGTGTCAGGTCTTTGATGGAAATTTCATATCGCTCTTCAAAACGTTGAGTTCCTTTTTTAGCTCAGTAGGTCATWGTAGGTAAACCATCTTTGAAACAATTCTGCCAATTCGTAATTTATTGATTTTTCTGATTTAAATCATTTAGAGTAGTAAATACAAAATACTTTGAAATTTAGAGAAATGCAAAAAATGTTTCTACATRTGARACATTTTAATGAAAAAAATAAAGACGTACGTTAGATACACCGTTTTGATGTACGGTAAGGGTAGGTGAGATTGTGTGTCTCGCAGTTTACACCTAAAAGAAAGTCGATGGCTTTCCAACTGTAATATAAATGTCTACCCGGTAACCAGTATTTACGTGGACTGCTACGGTTACTTGTGACAAGATTAGTTAGCGTTAAATACTTAAAACAAAAAACGTAGCATAAATTAGTATCCTTTCATATTTAGAGGTTTTTCTCTACAATGTCTTTTATATGGTTAGGTTGGGTTTTTATTCACGATGTGTTTTCGTTTCAGGTTGCTGGAAATGCCGTCAAACAGGCCGCTGACAACCTCGTCCGAGCTGCCAAGAACGCCGCCATATTCGAAGAAGAAGAGACCACAGTTATTATTAACCAGCGGTTTGTCGGTGGTATCGCACAGGAGCTCGARGCCCAAGAACAAGTACTTCGTATCGAGAAAGAACTCGAGCTTGCTCGGTTGAAACTCGGAAAGATTCGRCAGGCGCGATATGTACCCGAAGATGACGAGTAGAATGTTATAGTTATAAATCGATTAGAATTTTCTAAAATTTTAAATTCGGCAGTATTCATAAGAGTTCTTGAATGAACCAGACTATAGTTAAATAAACTTGTATGAGTAAATATATTTTTAGGAGAATTTGGCAAAAATGAATTAGTTTGCATTGAATATCTAATAAAACTAACAAGAATATGACAAGTTGTAGCAAGATACATTTTCTGTATTAACGGTTCGAATTGTGGGAATACAAGTCGGGACGCAAAAAGTGATGGCTAGATCAGAACGAATTTAAGCTTTCGTAAACTTGCTTCTTGAGAAGCTTGGAAGTGCTACATTGCCCACTCTGTATTGACAATTGTAGTCGAAAAGAACCGTTGGAGGCCGCAAATAAGAATATTAACGTTTCCTGTTATGTCTATAGACCGACTCACAAACAGACAAACAGCCAAAAACAACTTCTCTACCCACCCCCCCAGCCCCCAAGAGAAGGTCCAGCAACACTAAAGAACGAGACAGTAACAGTTGAGACGACGAAGATTGATAAGCAGAGGTGTAATGTGGTCATGCTTTTATGACAAGACGAGCACAGGCATTTTGGACAGCTTGTAGACAATCCATTAGATTTTTAGGGAGGCCATATAGTAGAGAGTTGCAATTGTCAAGTTTTGATGATATAAACGAGTGAACAAGCATTTCCGTAGATTTAACAGACAGGAATTTTCTGATTCTTGAAATGTTTCATAAAAAGAGGATTTGTAGGTCATTTTGATGTGATTAGCCAAGGACATAAAAAGAGTCAAAAAGAACACCAATGTTACGAACACAAGAGGAGGGATGAATTATTTCAGAGCCAAAGCTGATTTCAGGTGAGGAGCTCAATGGACAGTGCTTAGCTAGRCGAAAATATAAGAAATTCTGCTTTATCCTTATTSAGTTTYAGTTTGTTGAGAGTCATCCAGATTTCACAGAGGCAAGCTTTAATACTGTTTACGGCAACATCTAAG